CCCGACTTTACTCTCTCCGTCCATGGCTCTGTTTGATGATAGTATTCTATTATTATAGTTTGGAAGGCGAACCTAATCTCCCTTCGGGCACCCTTTCAAGCCCTTCAATTTCGGAAGACTAACCGTTGCTGGTCCTCCACTTAGCCATTTCGTTTCTTTGGTCTCGATGTCCAAACCACCGCTGCGTAAGACGTAGATCGCTCCGTTCTCTCCTCATTTTGAATAGTTGAGTGAGTTGGTCCGGTGGAACAATGTTGTCTTATAACTCGATACTGAAGCCTTCACTTCAAAAGTACTCTTATTCCCGAACATGAGGACTGCAATTGCATGATGACCTTCCTTTCACTTTGAAATCACTACCAATTCATTTGCCAGTATACGATTCTTTAGTTCTTTGCTTGTTCGTATTGGGAAGCAAGCAGATTTCCTATGGAAAGAAAGTGAGTCAGCGGGTGGGGTTGAGATTCAAAGGGCTTTTAAAACCTCTTCTTAGTTCCGTGGGAAGGTTTCCTGTTTGTGTGCTTAGGTACTACTCTCAAAAAATTAATAAACAATTTAATTCAATATAATGACATATTCCTTCCATCTCATAAAAATATACATTGTTTTCATTTTTACATAGATTAAAAAATATAATTAACATAATTGAAAATATAAATTCTACTTATATTTTTTCTAATATACCCTTATACTAAATAATTGTTTAAGTAAGAATAGTTTATATTTGTTGAAAACAAGACAGGTTAAGCCACTGTTTGGTTGAAATTAAAATCAGATTTTTGGCAAATTTTGATAAAAGTTAATGAAATATGTGACTTAAAGTTGTGGATCCCATGAAAAATAGGGTTAAAATCAATTTTTGACTTTTATTTTGATAAAAATCGATATTTTATTTTTTATCAAATATGGGCTAAATAAGGAAATATTAGAAAGTGAAAAAATTAATTATACTTTAAATTGGAAAAGTGGACTATAATTTGATACTAACAAAAAAAGAAAGCGATCATATTTTTATAAGACAGAGGGAGTAGGAGTGTGCGCAGTTTTCGTTCGGTCCGATTTTGAAGGAAACTAAACTAAACCAAGTATCAATGTGAATCTTAAAAATGAAATAATTGGTTCCATATCCAACTATTTAACCGAACCAAAATCAAACCAACCGGTTCTAATTCGGTCCGATTCATTTCGATTCTTTATATTGAAAAAATTATAAAACTAAAGTATGAAACTAAGCTCCTGTTTGACACCTATTCTCCTTCTCATTTTTTTTTCTTTTTTTTTTCATTTCAACCACACTTTCTTGAAATAAAATAATATTACACACAAATCTAAAACTTTTATTACTTTTCCATCACATATTCTCCCATCAGTCACTATTTTAAAAAAATTTCAACCCATTAAAATGGGTGTTAAACACTCACTAAATGTGAGATGGAATATAAACAAAAATAGAACATGAAAGCAATTTTCATTCCTATAATTTAATAATTTAAAATATCAATTAAAAAAACTCTCCAAAACTCAAAATCAACTCATAAAGTCAAAAAAAAAAAAAA